GGGAGGCCTTCAGGGGGACCTGCCCAGGCGCCCGGGGCCCTCTCCTGTGTGCCTGGCGCCCGCCCAGCAGGACATGGGGGCTGCAGCCCTGGGGACATTCTGGGTGCGTGGCGCTGCGCCCAGTGCGAGGTAGCTGCCCGGGAAGGCTGCCAGGAAGTAAACATCCCCGATGACCGTTTCCTCCTAGCAGGGTCCCTGTCGCTACAGCCCCCGCCCCAGACGTGGTCGGGCCTGGTGAGGCTCCCCAGCCGCTGCCTGTGTGGGGCTGGTGGCGTGTGGGGGGCACCGTGGATGGGGCAGCGGGGGAGCCCGCACCCGCTGGAGGCACTCTGCAGAGTGTCCCTGGGCCGCGTGACCCGAGGGGGCGGGCGCCCTCCCGTGTCCCCACCCCGCCAGCCCTGCGTGGTTACAGTTGGTTGCTATGCTGCTTCTAGTTTTCCGTGCTCTGGGGGCTTCGCCACATCCGCTTTTCTCGGCCCAGAGCTGGCCGGCCATGTTGGTGTAGAGCAGGGTGCATGGAGCTGGGGCTAGAGCAGGCCAGGACGGCTCCTCTGGCTTCGGCTGGCCTGGCCGGCCCCTCCCCCGCATCACGTGGTGCCCCCACCCCCTCCCCAAAGCACAGCAGCCGGAGACAGCCCGCCCCCTGGCCAGCTTTCCTGGCTGGGAAGTCTCCTTGCGATGCTCCTCAAAGCTTTCCCACTCGGCCCGAAGGGGCCTCGCACACCCCACAGGCCCCCCACAGCACAGCCTTGGCTTTTTGGAGGTTTCCATGCAGGGGGTGCAGGGTGAGTCATGCCTGAGGGTGATGGCCCTAAAGCCATGAAGTCGGGGAGGCTGGAGAGGGCACCACAAGACCCCGAAGCCGCCAGCTGGGGTAGGGTGGGGTTGGGCTCTGCGGCTCCTGCTGGGAGCTGGGCGTGCGGGTCCCCGTGGAACCCCAAGAGGTGCTTTGGGCTCGAGCCAGATTCTTGTCCCCCAAGTTCTATGAGGCAAGAACCCCAAAGCCCTGCACAGCTCCTGCTGGCACGTGCAAGTGCCGGGGTCCTGTTCTGAGCAGTAACCTCGCCCCGGCCCGCCTGTGGGGCCTCTTCCGTTCGTGCTGCAGGACCTGGGCCCCAGGGCGCGCTGGGGGTGATCTCAGCTTGGAAAGTGCCAGGGAGGGGAGGGGACTGGTCTGCTTCCTGGTGACACTGGGTGCCAGATGGCCTCTATAAGGGTCCTCAGCAAGTCACCTGGACCCCCTTGTCTGGGCAGTCCTTCCTGCATGGACGGAGCTATTGTCTCTGCGGGAGCCGAAACAGGACGGGTCAGCCACTGTAGGGTGCCGTTGGGCCCCAAAACGCCCCGCAGGGGAGTCTGCTCCAGGGGTCCGAAGCTGTTGGCTGCCGGAAGGTTGGACCAAGGAGCCCCTCCCCTGGGGTCACTGTTGGCGCCGGGGCCTGGGCCACTTGGCCCAGCATCGCTGCCGCTGGCCAGCCACCCTGCTGGTGCTGCAGGGCCACCCCCGTGAGGCAGCCTCCGAATGCAACGTGAATCCCGTTGCACAGAAAATAGAAGCCTGCCTGCCCCCTGGCTGCGGCTGCCGCCACCCGGCCCAGCGAGCGCTGAGAGGGTCTGAGCGGGTGGCAGGGCAAGTTCTGCTCATGGAAGCCAGTGGGTGCTGCCTCAGTGCAAACCGGGACACTAGAGCTCCCTCGGGGCCAGGGAGAGGCAGAGGGCCCCCCCAACACCGCAGAGTGGGGTGTCCAGGCCTCCATGTGAGGTGCTGGGAGAGTGGTCCCCAGCACCTTTTCATCTTCAGTTGTGTTGGGAAAGGGGAATGTGCCCTGTCCCTCAGCACAAGATCACCGGCAGGGGTCAGCCTGCCACTGCCAGGGCACTCCGGCCGCCGCTGGTCTTGCTGGGGAAGAGGTCCCACCGCACTGGTTTGTTGAAGCAGATGAGTGGGTCTCACACTGCAGTGATCCAGAAGACACCCCACAGACTCCTGCCTTGGCCACAGCCCCTAGCACCCTGGGTGGGAGAGCTCTCGGGCCAGGCTGCTGCAGCAGGGCCACTCCAGAGGGTGCTGACCTCCGGCTGTTTCTGCAGAACCAGAATGCCAGCCCCACCCCACCCCCCACCCTCCCCCACACACAAGTGTCACATATCCTGGACACTTGGCCCAGCATCCAGATCTGCTTTCCCAGCAGACTCTGGCGAGTGGCAGGTGGCCACGGTGGTCGAGCTCCCAGGCCTGGAGATTCAGAGTGAGGCAGGTCTGTCCCGCCTGCACACGGCCCCCAGACCCAGCCTGGGGTTCCAGTGCAGGACCAGCACAGCTGCGTTTGCCAGTCTAAGGCTGCATCCAGCCCCTGCGGGCCTGGCACACGCCCAGTCTAAGCAGAACAGCCCCTGAGCAGCCACACAGCTGACCACATCTCACTTCCAGAGACCAGGGCAGCTGGGTCAGCCAGTGCAGGCTGGGCAGTACGGGGTTGCAGGAAGTGGCCTATTAACTGGGCAGCGGATCAGCTGCACGGAGGAATCTTGAGAGTCACAATCAGACCCTGCTACAATGGGGTCCAGGCTGGAGCGGCCACAGGTGCCGGGGGGAGCCGAAAGCAGTGTGGGCCTCCCTTTCTTCGGGTACCTTGCAGGCCCGGGAGTGGACGGCCAGCTGGCTCAGTGCTCCACAGCCCCGTGGCAGAAAGTGCAGTGGCCAAGCCATGCGCTGCAGGAGTGGTCAGCAAGTGGGAGACTGGCCTCGGGCCGTTTCTAGGCGGTTTGGCTCTCAAGCTGCAACAGACCTTCAGGAGCAGCTGGGCGTCTGGCAGGACCCGAGCGGATGGCCAGAAAATGGGTCTGGGGGACAGGAGGGGCACGGCAGTGGGGAGCCACCAGCGTTGTCCCTGGGGAGCGTCCCTCCCCGGGACCTCAAGAGGCCTGTTGACAGCAAACCCCTGAAAGCCCTGGGACCAGACTGTCGCTGCTGCTCGCCCAGGGCTCCAGCCCTGCAGGCTCCAGGCGCAGGTTGCCCACCCCCACCCCCACCCCCCCGCAGGCTGGGCTCTCAGCCTCACTGCAGCCAAAAGCCACAGACTTGGGCACCGGCAAGGTCATGCTGTCGACAGCAGACGGGCAGTTCCCACGCTGTCCTGGGCAGCGGACAGCAGGAGCAGGACTTGCAGGAAGGAAAAGGAGTCGCCTGCCTGGCAGGCGCCAAGCCCCGGCCCTGGCAGCTGCGGAGTGGCAGCATGTCCCTGGCCTGGGCGAGGTGGCCTCCTGTCGCTGTGCTCAGCTGGCCTCGGTCGCCCGCGCTGCACCTCCGAGGCTCTGTGGGAGCAGCGGCAGCTGGCGCTAGTCGCGGGCTCCGTGCCCTGGGGCTGGAGCAGCTCTGGCGGCCGAGGGCCCAAACGCTCTCACAGTGGGTGAATCCTTAACTGCGGTGCCCCTTCCCCGACGGGTCATTTTCCTTAACTACCCCCGACGGGTCATTTGCCTTCTTAACTACAGTGCAGAGACCGGCCCGTCATGTGTCCACTGTGCTGTGAAAACGCTGAGTTCAGCGCACTGGCAGGCATGTGCCTTGCCACAAGTGAACCGGGACCCAGAGTTGCTGGGAGTCCTGGGGGCTGCTGCGGGGCTCCCCTGGGCTCCCCGTGGCCTGGTGCCCGCCTGCCGGGACCTGCCTCCTGGGCAGGGAGAAGGTGGGGTTTGCCAGGGAGAAATGCCACCCTGGGGAGGAGGGAGATGATCGCTAGGCAACCTGGAGCTGGTTTCCCAGGTAACGGGATCGCTTAGGCTGCTGCTGGCCAGTGCTGTGGTCTCAGGCAGCCTTGCTCCACTGGTCCTGTCACTTTCTAGTAGCAGGCCTGGGTCTCCCGCTGTGCCACCAGATCTGCCTCCTGCTGCCCAGGAGTCACGCCGCCTGGGGCAGAGGGCCTGGGGCTTGGCTACCGCACCATTGCTGACAGCGTCAGCATGTGGATGCCTACCTCTCGCCACTGCCTCCAGCACAGGGCTCCACTCTGGGCCGTGTCCTCCCTGGCCAGGGCTGGCACACAAGGGGTGCGCCTTCCCCTCTCACTGCAGTCAGGCGAGGGGGCATCTGCAGGGCTGAGCCTGGACATGTCACCCTCAGCCGCTGGGTTGGGGGGAGAGACAGGGAGGGTGCTGTGCACGTGGGGTCAGTCCCAGAGGTTACATGGTCCAGTGCCCTGCTCCTGCCCACAAGGAGCCATAGACCAGCGAGGACACAGATCCCCGCCAGAATGGAGGCCAGTAGGGCTCCAGCTGCTCTCAGACGGCAAGGACCAAGATCCTGGGGAGCCCCAGTGCAGGTGGAGACAGCCCCCAGCCACCCTGCCTTCCTGAGGCTGAAACAAAGCCTTTTCTCTCTGCTCCCAGTTCAGAGGTGATTGTCATGAGACGCAGAGCTGTGGTGTGGGGGCGAGGCCCTGCATCAGGTCACGGGGGTGCCTCCCCACCCCACCCCCGCATCCACGGCTAGTAGGAACGTGGTCAACCAGGGGCCTCCCTCATTTGGGTGAGATGGGCACAACCTGGAAGGTGCCCTCATCTCCCGGCGGTCACATGGGGGCCATGGGAGCCCTGTGGCCTGGCCGGCCACTACAGAAGAGGACAGCAGATTGTGGAGGGCAGGGAACAATACGGCGCTGGGCGTGGAGCCTTCCGGGTGCCAGGGGCTTCTGCTGGGAAATGCATAGCAGTGGCCTGGGCCTGCCGTGCCTGCAGCCGGTGCAAACCTGGGGTGCCCAGGAAGCTGTCTTGTTTTTAACATGCTCCCTCCTGGACCCGCCCCGTTGTCCTCCCTGATGACCCCAAAGTAGCCTGTGGTCTGAGCCCGGTGAGCCCCAGGTCGGGCGCACCCCTCACTGCATGATGGGTGTCATGTCAATGTCAGCTGGGGACAGCACCACTGCCCCCTCGGCCGGAGCCATGCAGCCCGGGCGCACGTGGGCAGACCCAGTTATACACTGAGCCCCTCCTCCTTGCAGGTATCCGCCCCCAGATCATGAACGGCCCCCTGCACCCCCGCCCCCTGGTGGCACTGCTGGACGGCAGGGACTGCACGGTGGAGATGCCCATCCTGAAGGACCTGGCCACTGTGGCCTTCTGTGACGCCCAGTCCACACAGGAGATCCACGAGAAGGTGGGCCCCCGCTGCCTGGCACCCCCCTCAGCCCCGGGCCCCCGGCCGGCCGCGGGCCAACCTGTGCTCCGCCCCGGCGCAGGTCCTGAACGAAGCCGTGGGTGCCATGATGTACCACACCATCACCCTCACCCGGGAGGACCTGGAGAAGTTCAAGGCCCTCAGAGTGATCGTGCGGATAGGCAGTGGCTATGACAACGTGGACATCAAGGCAGCTGGCGAGCTGGGTGAGTGCCGAGGGCCCGGTGCCTTGTGGCCATCCCGGCAGAGGGTGCGGCTTGGGCCCTCACGCTGCACCCGTGTGCACTTCGCAGGCACCTGACCCGCAGCAGCATCAGAGAAGGTGCCTGGTCTGCCCAAGGGACCCGTGCCCTGGGATAGCAAGGGGTCCTCCAAGTAGCCCCCACGCCCACCCCTGTGCTGAGGATCTGGGAGGCCAGTGGCCCACCCTGCTGAGCTGGGCACCACTGAGCGAGCCCTTGTGGTCTCGGAGCACCTGCCAGCATCAAGCTCCCCCACCCCCCGCCTTCCCGCCAGGGGCTTTGATTGTGCGTCCCGGGTCACTTTCCCCAATTGCGTGGGGTCATCCAGACGCCCTGGGGTGAGTCTTGGAAGCAGGCAGGGGCTAAGTGGTGGTTGTCCGGTTGCATTTCCGCAGTGGGGGACATGGCACGTGCCACACAGGCGAGCCCCCATGTAAGGTGGGCGGCCTCACCACACCTGGCAGCAAGAACTGTGTGGGGCCCGGCCCTAAGCCGGTGCTTCGCGGCTCCCTCTGCCAGGCTCCGGTACCAGCCCCCACAGGATGCGGCCAGCAGGTAAAGGGCTGCACAGGCCCAGGCCAGCTGCTGCGCCCAGAGGCAGTGGCTGCCCCTCTCCGTCCTCCTCCACGCTTTGCTCACAGCCCCAGCACCGCTCCCTACCCGTCCACGGCTAGACACCCCGTTGGGGGTGACTGTAGGCGCTGGAGTCCCTCAGCACAGGGCCAGAGGGTCCGAGTCCCCTCGAGGACATCGTCATGCCCGGAGCCACGCTCCCAGCGGGGTCCCCGCCCCTCCGGCCCAGAACCCAGCCTCCTCACCCGGCTTCATCCCCGCCCCCAGGCATCGCAGTGTGCAACATCCCGTCCGCGGCGGTGGAGGAGACGGCCGACTCCACCATCTGCCATATCCTCAACCTGTACCGGAGGAACACGTGGCTGTACCAGGCGCTGCGGGAGGGCACGCGGGTCCAGAGCGTCGAGCAGATCCGGGAGGTGGCCTCAGGAGCTGCCCGCATCCGTGGGGAGACGCTGGGCCTCATCGGCTTCGGTAAGTGCACTGGCCGCAGCCTGCTGCCGGGTGGCCAGCCCTGGGTGCCGTCGCCCCTGCATGGTGTCCCTGGGACTGCTGCCTGGAGGTCGGGTCTAGCACATGCCTGGGCCAGGGGGCTGGACCACTGGCTGCCTGGTCGAGCTGGGCAGGTGCTGGCAGTGGGGCAGAGACCCCGCCTGGAGTGGCAGTGAGAGTCGCTGCCGGCTTGGCGTCAGGTCATGGCATGGAGAATGACTGGCCTGAAAGCCCCCACCCCAAGGGTCGGAGTATGGAAAGACCCAGGGGGAAGCAGCCAGCGGCCTTCTGGGTCAGGCCACTGAGGAGGGTCAGGAGCCAGCCCCTGACCAGCTCTGTGACCGCTAGTAATTACAGGACTGCTCTCTGCCTCCGTCTCCCAGTCTGTAAGCTGGGACTGGGATGCTCCCTGGAGGCTGCCTCAGAATTCAGACGGCTTGAGAACGGGGTCTGCGTCTAGAGCCTCCCCGAGGGCTTCCCGGTGGCTGGAGGGTCAGCACCATGGGTGGGCTCACTGCCACACCAGTACCCCTTGGGGCTGGACCAAGGAGGTGAACCGGCATTTCCTCAGGGTGCCAGGCTCTGGGAGTAACAGGGAAGGATAGCTCCTTGAGGGCCACAATGAAGGGGCTGCCAGAAACAGAAGAGCAGGTCTGTGGGGGCCACAGCACCCTCTGCTGGTACCCCTGCCTCCCCTCTCCCTGGAACATTCCTGGGCCTCAGGTAATGTCAAGACGCAGGCACCCAGGAGTCTGGCCACCTAGTGGCGGCTCTAGACCCTGGCAAGGTCCTTATCCAGTCACAGCCTTTGTCATCTGTCCTGTGGAGACCTGTTTACTGGGTCCGGCCGGCCACCCACACTGCCGGCCTCAGGCCGGGAGGAGGGGCCGAGAGGGTGTTGCTCGGGACAGCCTCTGCGTCAAGCACACCGGCACGTGTGAAGCCAAGCCAACCAGTACAGAGTGTTTGAGACCTCAGTGTGGGTGTGGCGGGGCAGACACTCCTGGGCCCACTTGACCAGGAACCGGGGTCTGTGACTCCGAGAGAAGCACGCTGGCTCGCTCGGCACCCGTAGCCCTCTACCTTGCCGCACATCAGGAGCAGCAGTCAGGGGCAGGCCGGTCGGGTGCACACGTGGGGCAGCACAGAGCTCCCAGCGGCCACCCTGGGCGCACGGGCCTTCACTGGCACCCTGCCCCATCCCTGTCCCAGTGGCCCGCCGCCCTCCCAGAGGTGTGGCTGGACGTCCCAGCTCACTGACCCAACTGCGAGTCCGCAGCTGTCCCTTAGGCAGGTTGGCCTTCTCCAAGCATGCGGCCTTGGCCCCGGTCACCAGCCGGGCGGGCAGCCCCTTGCCGCGCCTCGCACACACGCACGCTGCACGGGGCTGAGACGTCCTCTGTGCCCTCCCCAAAGCAGCCTGTTCGCGCAGCACGCAGGCGTTTGTTTTCAGCCGAAAAGTGCCCTAGGAGGCCAGAGGTGCGGCAAAGGTCCTGTTGCGTAGTGTGGGTGTGACTGGCTGGGCCCTCCGCTGGCCCCCCGCGGCACTGGCCTGCTGACCGCCCCGCAGCACAGTGCGCCCGTGAGGAGGAGCATGCACGCAGGTTCCCCGTGGGGGCATGTAAGCCAGGCCCACGTGGGGGCCTGAGGCATAGACAAACGCAGAGATGGTTACAAAGGGGGGCTTCTGGTGATGGCAGAGCTGGAGGGGGGGTGGCCGGGCTCAGCAGAGCTTGGGTTGGCACTAGAGTATGTGGCGATCAGGTCTTAAAGAAACAGGTGGCCAAGACAGGCACTAAGCATCACAGGCCTCAGGATGCACGGCCAGCACCGGCCGCGGGTCCCTAATTTGGAAGCAGGGCCAGAGCTGGGGCACCTCACACTGCTCGGTGTCGGACCCTGAGTGCCACAAGAGACTGTGGACTTGCTCACCTGGACGCTTTCTTTCTGCACAGGTCGCACGGGGCAGGCGGTTGCTGTTCGAGCCAAGGCCTTTGGATTCAGCGTCATCTTTTATGACCCCTACTTGCAGGATGGGATTGAGCGGTCCCTGGGCGTGCAGAGGGTCTACACCCTGCAGGACTTACTGTACCAGAGCGACTGCGTCTCCTTGCACTGTAATCTCAACGAGCATAACCACCACCTCATCAACGACTTTACCATAAAGCAGGTAACTTGCACGAGGAGTCCTCGGAGCGAATACACCCTATGGAAACCCCAGGGCCAAGGGCAAGTGTCCCCGCCCCCAGCCGAGCGAGCAAGACGACGTCCCCAGGAAGACGCAGAAGCAGTGTCAAGCCAGGAGGGACGGCACCTGGCCCAGGACCCTGTGGGCCTAGCCTCAGCTGGGCGCCAGGACACCACGGCAGGGGACAGGCCCCTTTGAGCCTCCTGCCATGTGCCCTCCCCCAGCCTGCACACGCATCACACCTACAGAAGGGCTCTGGTCTGCATGTCCTCCCAAACGTGGGGACAGGCACCCCATATAACTCGCTCCTCTCCCCTACAGATGAGACAAGGAGCCTTCCTCGTGAACGCTGCCCGCGGGGGACTGGTGGACGAGAAGGCCTTAGCCCAAGCCCTCAAGGAAGGCAGGATACGGGGGGCGGCCCTCGACGTGCACGAGTCGGAGCCTTTCAGGTGGGCCTGCAGGCTGAGGGGCCCCGCATCCCACTCCCCAACTTCTTGGAGTCCAGCCCCCTGCCCCTCATCAGGCCTCTAATAAGCACACTCTAAGGTTCCCAAAACAGGGCGCTGCCTGTCGGCCACCAGCCCACAGGCCTCGGGTCCCACTCCTGGGGTGGCTGCACGCGCGACTTCCCTTTCTCATTGACTGTGATCTTCACATTTGTCTAGCTTTGCTCAGGGTCCCTTGAAAGACGCACCGAATCTCATCTGTACGCCGCACACGGCTTGGTACAGTGAGCAGGCCTCGCTTGAGATGAGGGAGGCGGCTGCCACCGAGATCCGCCGGGCCATCACAGGTGAGCCCCGCACCAGCTCGGCTGCAGCCAGGGGATGCGCCCAAGGTGCCAGGGCCTGCCCGGGGCAGGCTTCTTAAGGTTAAGGAGCCTGTTTGTAGGAGCCCTGAACTGAGTCTCAGTGGAAGCCAACTCGGGTGCAGCACGAAGCAACTTCAGCCTGGACGGTGGGAGGGGCAGGGGCCGGGGGTGAGGCCGGACGGCCTTCGCTGTTCTAGCGCGGAGCCGGCCGATGCTTGCTGGCCCTGCACATCGCGCGCTTTTCAAGAATACAAGGGCCAGCCCTCTCTGGCCAGAGGCTGTGCTGCTAGGCTCGCAGCCGAGTAGACACAGAGGTTGCTTTCCCGACACCCCCCGGAGCTCAGATACACAGGATGCGTTTTCATCACCTCGCCAGGTCGCATCCCAGAGAGCCTAAGGAACTGTGTGAACAAGGAGTTCTTCGTTACCACAGCCCCCTGGTCAGTAATAGACCAGCAAGCAATTCACCCAGAACTCAACGGAGCCACGTACAGGTGAGACGCGAGCAAGACCCCGGCCGGCCGTGTGCGGAACCAGACGCACCGCTTTTGCCCCCGCGAGGCAGCAAACCCTGGGGGCAGCGCCTGCTGTGAAGGGTGGGGAGGTGTGCCCCCTAGGCGAAGGGGCTGGCCGGTGTCCCGGGGCCCTGGTCAGGCAGGGTCATGGTAGGGCTGGGTTTGACGCTGCTGGTCCCAGGATTCTCCTCCTCACACTTGGGGTTCAGGGAGCTAGGTGCTCCTGTATGAAGGGGAGAAGCTGCAGCCCAAGACCCACAGGGAAGCGCAGCTTGTGTTTGCTGGTGCTGGGGCTGCCTGAATTTTGTAGACTTGTTCGCAGCCTCCAGCCATGGCTACCAATTGCGCCTTCCTGCTGCTGAGAGCTGCCCATGCTCACAGGCAGGCCCACACCCCAGTGCCCCCAGACCCAGAGCTGGGAAGGGTGGCAGACAGTGTACACGGTCTGTGGCAGTCCCACCAAAGGCTCTTCCAGGCACCGCTTCCAGAGCCGGCGCCCCAGCCCCACTAGGCTGCTTCTCCGAGAGCGGGCTTCAGTGTCTGACAGGCTGTGGGTGGCTTTTGCCATCTTAACCCTGTGTAAACAGCTGGGTGAGCTGATTCCAGAGTGCCTGCCTCAAATGCCCCACCCCTGACATTGCCACACAGTCACACTTGTGCACGAACCCCTTGTGCCACTGCTCACATGGCACTGAACCCTGCACCCCGTCCCTGCTTCAGCACAAGAGGCCTGGCACAGCAGCCGGGGAAGCCGCCTCGAGTCTGTGGGCCAACCCTGAGGGCAGTCAGTGTAAGGACCGTGGGTGCCTTCCAGCGGGGCATCAGGGCGCCACGGTGCTCTGCCCGGGCGGCGGCTCCTGCACTCGAGGACGGTGCCGCCTCCCACCCCACAGTCACAGACTCTCCCCTTGCTCTGCAGATACCCGCCAGGCATCGTGGGCGTGGCCCCGGGAGGACTTCCAGCCGCCATGGAAGGGATCATCCCTGGAGGCATCCCGGTGACTCACAACCTCCCCACAGTGGCACACCCTTCCCAAGCCCCCTCTCCCAACCAGCCCACAAAACACGGGGACAATCGGGAGCACCCCAACGAGCAATAGCAGACAGTGACAAAAGGTATCATTCAGATAAACCTGGGACCAAGAGACAATGAAAATAGATGAACTAAGAAAAGGAAAGGAAGGAATTCGCCAGTCTTTTACCTGATTCTGGACACTCGCATCATTGGCGCTGCAGTGCTAGAGCTACGAGAGCCGGAAGCCGCGACGGAGACGGAAGGCGGCCTCTGCTTCTGAAAGCGCTGGAAGACTAGGACGTGATTTATTAACGACCAACTTCTGTTATTGTGTGTTAAGTTTCTCATCTGTGCATCAAATCACAAAGAATAAATAGATCTTTTTCCTTTACCGGTCCCTGGGGCACAGCAGGTGAACACCTTGCTCTAGAATGTTGCATCAAGAGTTCCAAACATCAAAATAAAAAATATTAAGAGGAAATCCCCATCCTGTGACTTGAGTCCCTTCGGTCCATGGGGGCTGGTTACCTCTTTTGCTAATAGGAAGATGAAATCACTATGAACAGGGGAGCAAACTGCCTGCCTGCGTTCTAGCTCTCCGGCAGCACGGACTGGAGACTGCGGGCTCCGCCCAGAGGCCGCCCGCCTGGACCGCGTACTGACCGGCGAGGTGGCTAGGGTTCAGTAACACCCTCTGATGATGCAAAAAAAAAAAAAAAAAAAAAAGTATTAAGTTTCACAAGCTGTTTGTACTCAAATATATTTTCTCAGTTTCAGATCCTCAGCTATTTTATTGAGTGGAGAGTCTTGAACTTGAAAGGGTTCAAGAAGAATAATGTTGCATTTCCTTATGTCTCAGGAAACACTTTTTATGGTAACTTGTCAGATTGTCTATGAACAAACCCACTTTTTTAGACATTGATAAAGTTCTTTTCTTCACGTGATATTTTATACAAGAACACTTCAGGTGTGTTATTAGATGTGACTGATTTTAACAAATCCTATTAGATTTGTATCAACTAGTTTCATGTTATATTCATAGTCTTTTGTGAGTCATCGCCTTTTTGTTTAAAAGATGGCCTATTTTGAGCCTTTGTAGAGGTACATTCCTGTTTTTGTGACAAAAAAAAAAACCTTTAAAACTGTCCCAAACAGAATAATAATGGCTATCAGAAATGTTTTGTTTTAGTGTGAGTTACCGTTACTGTATTTGTTTATTGTAAAGGTGGACATTTAGCGTTCAGTGCAGTTTTCAATAAAAGTAATAAAAATCTGTTAACTTCTGAAGTTCAAGTACATCTCACCAATGTAACCGTCTCGAGATGTCCAAAGGCAACCACATTTTCAATTAGTCATTTTCCAGCTTGTTGTATATAACCAGGGTCTACAAGCATATTTAAATGTTGACAAGCACCTCATCTGATAGTTCAGTTGAAAACCTCAAAGAGTCGGTGGGGTTAGAAACTAAGTCAAGAAGGCCAAGAATGAGAGCTTCAATATCTACTGGAGCTAAAGTACCTGGACTCAAATAATTCAAACAGAAGGTAAATCTCGAGGAGGGGAGTGTGCGTGCTTGCGTGCGTGCGTGCGTGTGTGTGTGTGTAGAGAGAGATGTATACACACACAAACACACCAAGAGACAACATCGGTCATTGCCGTGTTAAAGACTTCATGACCTTCTAAAACAGCAAGCATCAAACTCATACTAGAGACATCTTAAGTGTCCATAAGTCCAGCAAACCCGGCATCAAACTCCCTGAGCCTTCCCTACTAATAAAGTGAGGGGATCTTCTAGCATGAGCCTCACCTATTTTAAGGTGCTGTCCCCTCCCAGCTACCACGGAGTCACTGGGGTGGAGAGCGTGGCTACTGACCTATCCTTCCAGGAACAGAACAGTTCTACATTCTCTCCCTAAGCTCTTGTCAAAGAGCAGCCATGACGAACACAGATGCAGGCTGATCAGTACACGGCCACACCCTGTTAACCGAGACTCGGCCTCTTACACAATGAGCCCAAGAGTCAACCGACAAAAGGCAGGTCCGATTCCATGATTCCCAGGGCCTGGGTTCTGTTTAATCTGAACAGAAAACACCACACTATTCTCCCTAGGGGGAAAAAATCAGGACGTCCACACAATCCAGAGTTAGCCAACGGACATTCACATCTGTCACCCAGCAGCACAGGCTTCCAGAAAGCACCGCAAACTCTATCTTGCAATATTTATGGCTGTTTAATAGTTCAAGAGCTTAACAGAGTATTGGTTCACCCAAAAGTTTCACGTTCAGCAGTGTATGTGCTTGGGGACCACTCAGGCCCAGCCCTACCTGGAGCCTAGGGATCGGACGCCTCCATAATGCCTTCCCATGGAGTGTAACGCTGCACCTGTTTGACCAGATGTGGTCAGGACCGCTGGTGGCAATAAAGAGGTACCTTGAGGTCCGATAACACTCCGAGCACCACACACAGGCCAGAGATCCAGCCTATCCCTCCTGACAGCACTGGCCACCTCACTGAGGGGGTAGCGACTGCCTAACAGGCAGGTGACTGGAACAGGACCTGTGCCCATTGGAGAAATGTCCTATACATGGAGCAAATTTACCAGAGACGCTGCACTAGGGAGTCAGCATGGCAACCTGCTGAGAATCTTGAATTACTGATCAAAGTGAAAGCAAACCAATCAATTTGCAATAAAATATTAAGCACTTGCAAGTTTTTGGCATTTACCATTATAACAAGGTTCTTTGTATATGGACTGAAATTGCCAGTTTTTCCTGCAAGGTTTTTACATGTAGCAAAAGTGATTTAGCCTGGGACTGGGACTGGGACACCTTTTCACGAGTGCTCAAAAGGGGAGAGCAAATTACTGACATTCCTTGGGTGGTTTTTCCTTTTTTTTAGTATTCCGGCATTAAGTTTGAGGTTGTGTGCAATCTTGTCACCAGTTTAGTGGTTAGAAGAAAAAAAGCAGCAGTTTAAAAGGTTTTCACAGCCTTTTCGCATCAGGGGGAAGGAAAACTTGTGTCTGTCTTTTATGGGCGAAGCCACACACATACGCAGAGCTTCTTTCCAAGTCCTTCCCCATTAACAGTCTACAAAGTGCTGACTATCAGGACACTAAGTCTGTGCTCTGAGAGGTGTGAAATGTTTATCCAGTATTGAGTGTGTACCGCTTGGTCAAATGATATTTTTTAAATGCTCTTCTATTTAAGATGATACTTTTAAGTTAAAATAAAATGGCCATAGTTAACCAACATGCAAAAATTCTCAGGCCACTCGCTGAGAAGCCCCTTGTGCAGTGTATGTACCGCCTCACTGCATTTTTGAAGTCTTTATTCTGTGCTGAGCCGTCCCCCGAGAGCCAGAGCAGAGGCGCCTTCCTGACAACCGGCCGGGCGCAGCCGATGCACACGAGTCCACAGCCCTGTGTGGCGATGCAGGGACACGGCACTGTCGGCGGAGCGAATCTGTCAGAGTGGAGGCCCACAACGTGCATCCGGGGAGCTTCACCAGCAGACTGTGGCCAGGAGTAAGGTCTGAGAGCCCTCATTTTAAGGGCACTCTTGAAACAAATTAGTGCCTAATACTGAAAAGGGCAGATCAGAAAACTTCAGAAACAAGTAACAGAAACCAAAACCCTTTGCAAAAAAGGGAGCAGTGTCTAGATAAAGTTCGCTCAATAGAAAATTCTTATTTTCCTTGCAGTTTGTTCCTTAAAGATTTGATTTTATTTTATTGGGCACACAGGGACTAAATTATTAATAAAATAAAAAGCTTGTTTATTTTTGTTTTGCTGTGGATAATTTGTACAAAAGTTTCCAAGTCTCTAGTGAACTCTGGTGAGAATCAATGTAAAATGGATCTTTAGGAGGGAGTAGAATGCCAGGTTCTACTCAACAAGAAGATCTCGAAGGAACAGAGGCCTCTGCCATGTGCTTTTGTGGGTGCCCGTGCTGGGAAGAACTTCTGGGACTGTGAGGATGCCGGCACAACTTTGCCTATTACACAACTTCTTACACAACCACATGCGTTACTTTATAGACAGATTTACAATTTGAAAGGGGAAAAGTTGTTCCGTCTTAATAAAATTAGTTTTTACAACTGGAGTCCAAACAGTTTTCTGTCCTCTTGCAGCAGATGCGGCCTCCTCTTGGGGTGTGGATCGAGGCGCCCTCGCGCAGACCCTGCAGCTAGGCAGGCTGCAGGCCGTGCACGCTGCTTGGAGGGCCACACTCACTTGGGGTCACCCCAGTGCCAATCCCTCGGGCTTCTGCTCTCTGACTTGTCTTTATTCGTCTTCGTCATCTTCGTCTTCCTCGCCATCAGACAGAGACGTGCAAGGTCGGATCTGTCGGTAACGGTCAAGCCACTTTTCCACCATCTGCGTGACCAAGGGGTGGTTTCGTCGCCGGGAGCTTTTCTGCATGGCAACAAGTACCCCCCCCTCGGTCACACAGCAGTCCAGCCACTCCCTGAGCAGTTTTTCCTGCTGCTCCTCATTCCCTAGCTTTTAGAGGAATGTGAAGAAAAGGGAAGATAATACGACAGATCAGAAACATGAAAACATGATAGGAAAAACTCAACAGAAACCTACTGCTGTGTGACACTGGTAACAGCCAATGCAACAAACTCTTAACATGGCTGCCAGCTCAACAATGTTATGACTCAAATCCTGCTTCCTGTGTTCAATGGGAAAAGACATCATCAAGGGAACATTCACAGAAAAACCCAAGGGAAAGAACCACCTAGTCAAGTAGTTTGAAGTAACAGCAAAAAGCCACTGTCATCTCACAAACTGCTCCTGGCGAAGAAAAAGCCAGAACTAAGCCACAGCTTCAAACATTCGACAAGGTGAGTTCACTGAATTATGTTGCCAAAATTACAGTCTGTGGATTTTTTTCTAAATGTGATTATAAAGCTTTCACGATTACTAGTATAGCGAATAACAATCCAGCAGTTTTAGAAGAATGTGGGTTTTCTCGGTGTTCTTGCGTGCATGCCTACCGCCTGCACCCCGTCCCCCACAATGCTCTCCCGCTGGCACCTCCTTTCCACCCGGAGTAGAGTTCCTCTCACTCCAGGGAGCCCACTGCAGCTCATAGCTGGCAAGAGCCAGAGCTCTAAAAGGCTGCGATGAGTCTCTGAGCCCTGCCGCACCCCCACCCTTCGTCTCCTCCCCCCACACCTTCCCGCAGACTCAGGCGTCACCTGAGTAACCCCTCTCCAAGGCTCACACCCGCTGTCACCTCGCCCTGGCCACCCTCCACCCATCATCTTCCTCTGTGCTCCCCTTCGGCTCTCGCTCCTGCCCGCCAAGGGGTTGCACCTTCACCTCACTGCCGCAGCTCACACACATACCCCAACAGTCTGAAAGGTAAATGTCACCGTCTGCCCAGTGTGCAGAAAGCAAGCTGCTACCACACAAGTCCACCACGTGGCCGTGCATGGCAGCCCGGGGACTCCGGCACCCCGACACAACCTCTGGGCAGACTACAGGACGATGCGCACCCACCTCCTGTGCAGACAGAAAGTGCACGTGCAGCAGTTTCCTCTCGCTGTCCACCAGGGGCAGGAAGGTGATGGTCACGTCGTCGTCTGTGTGCAGGTTCGCACCAGCACCTCGGCCCCCATAGCCGTCATTCTCCATGGCGACCAGAGCGGAGAAGTGGCCCCTCGTGTAGCCCAGAGCGATCGGGCTTTTCCAGCAGAAGCTCTGCTCCCACAACAAGGGCAAGTAGACGCCTGCAGAGTGGGAGACATGGCACGCGTTAGCGCGGGAGCCCCGGCGCCTGCGCCAGTCTCCTGCCCGGCGTGTAGTCCGCGGGGCTGTGAACCCCCGCCACGAGACTCACCTTGAAACCGAGTATACCCTAAGGTCTCTCCTCGGAAACTCTTGTAGTATTTCACACCGTAGACTATGATTGGTCGTCTGAGAATATGCGCAAGTACAAAAATGTGTGTCTGCTCCAAACTCGCTCCAGGCTGTGGGGAAAACAGGAAACAATTTCACTTTAAAACACTGCCTGCCTGGGCCCTCCCTGGTGGCGCAGCGGGTTAAAGCGCAGCACTAAGAAGCTAAAGCCGCTTCCGCATGAGTTCGATTCCCGCCTGCCCTGGAGGTGACCACAGGGCGCGGCAGACCTCTCCTGACCGCCCGCTGCTCCCCTCAGCAGTGTACCTCGTCCATCTGCCTGTTCTGCTCCCCACTCTGTCTCTGGTGAATCCTCTCACCCTCCCATCTCTGGCCTGTACCCCAGTTCCATATGAATAAATAAATAAATCTTTAAAAAAAAACAAAAAACACTGCCTTCCTGCCGAGAAAACCAAGCGGGCTTTTAAAAGCCCTATCGTTAAGGTAAAGCAGCACCTGGTGTCACCAACAGTGAGTCTGTAGTCTGTAAAGGAAGCTGCAAGCTGACGGTCACTACCCAATGCCAGGACCGAACAGGCCTGGATGGACACTGACCTCAGGCCCGGTTCCCCAGACCACAGGCGTGGCCTGACGGGCCCATCACCTGACTAAGCTTCCCCACGAGAGCACCGCAACAGCAGGCCTTCCCGCGTGAAGAGACGGCATGAATTTCACACAGGTCTGCTCCCACTGCAAGCGTCCTACCCCTTTTCCAGGCCCGTGTCACAGATCTCACTATGAAGCGTCCCCTGTAGAGCCTGCCCAAGAGGCAGACTGGACACACAGCCTTCGGGGCGCAAGAGAATGATGGAGCTTTCTGCAACAGCTTCGCTCTGTCATACACTGAACGTGCTTCAGGAAACAAGGCGCACTGGAGTCTGAGAGGGGCGGCACCCAGCTCCCCTTACTCATTCCACTCCCACTCACTACAAGTCCCTCCCATCCTTGGCTAACACCAGGTGAATGAGTGCCCCAAAGACACCCTCGGGGGAGCACGGGCAAGATGGCGACTCGTTGGCTGGGGCCTGCCAGCTCAGCCGGGCACGCCTGCCAGCACTAGCTGGGGTAAGCGAGCCCCTCGCGCAGAACAGGTGTAACCTGCACATGGGCAACAGGCATGCCGCCACCTTCCCGAGGGTGCAACGAGTGAGGCGCCCTTGGGAGTACGAGCACGGCCAAGCTGTACAGCAGCACTAAGGCGGCCACCTCCTCACTGAACCTAAGAAACCACTCTCCCTGTCCTGCAGCAGGCAGCCAACAGTTTCAAGGAGAACCCAAGTCACCTGGGGTCAGATCAGAGCCTCTCCTAGGGCCCACCCCCACCCCCCACAAGTAACACTCCCAAGTCTCAGGGTTTATCAGAACACCTGGCCGCTATTCTCACAGGAGGGCTGTGAGACGAAGCATTCTCACCTGGCTGGCAAGAGAGAGTATAAATGCCCAGTCTTCTTGCCACTGTTCTTCTCTCAAGGAAAAATGTAAACCAAAGCTCTGAGAATACCATGATTCCCAATCTTTCCAACGTGTATAAAACCTGAAACAGTTAAAAAAAAAAAAAAGCCTTTAAGCAGTATAGTTAATCATTTACTATAGCAAAAAGCAATTCACATGAAGAGATTAATAATTGTACTGATTTCACCTGGCTTATTATACATTCTTGATACAAAGAAAAATTTTTAATTAAAAAGTCAATTCTCTACTCTCCTAGCAGGCACCTTTTACCATATCCTCAGATAAAATCTGACTCACAAGCCACCCACTTTTCATCAAAACTTCAAACACCAGAAGAATGACTAATTTTAAAAACCTGCCACTGGTTCTCACATTTAAAAATCTTGAAGGGCCCGTCACGCTCTCTCCAGCGGCACCCGGTGCGCCCGCCTGGGCTCCGCCCAGTGGGTGGGCATCCACGCCTCACAGGATGAGACAGTCACTGGCTGCGATTGCGCCACCAGTTTTTGATGACATGGTAATTAAAAAAAAAAAAAAAATCACCACAACTACACAACCCATTTCTTCTCTGTATCAAATATCTTCTAATTGTGAGCTTAATCATGAAGTTAAAAAAAACTGGTAGACTCAATTGCTAAAAACAAAAATCTGTTTGTTTGTATTACATCACATTCCTTCCAATTAATAAACAGAAATCCCAGACACTTTTATGTAACTGAATTCTCAGTAAAAGGAGCAAAGGCTAAGAAAACCTTCCACTGCTGTTGTCGAAAAGCCCAAGCCCAGCGTAGGAAACTGCATGTGTTAAGGCACATTGTGCATGTCAGCTGGGGGAGGCCCGCGAAGCAGGTGACTACTACAGTTCAGGTTTGTCGAAGGACAAAACAGGAGTGCTACGAAGATTTGACTCTTGGTTGATTAGAATTACTTTTTCTCTTTCTGATAACCAGGAGGTTCTTTTTTAAACAGCAGCTTAAGTTTCAGTGCAACGTTTTAGAAATAAAATTGGATGTCCCTCTGAAAATACACTAGGGCACACAGAATTATGTTTGAATGTGCACCAAAAAAACCGCTTTGAAAAGTTCAAGAAGAAATACATGACAAAAAAAGGGTGTTAACAAAAAAGATACACATTCAAACTTTTTTGGTTAGCACCTGGAATCATTTTATGAGACAATTAGCATGCCAGAAATTAATTCCTCAGTAAGAGTGAGAACTAAGAGAGTTAAAAACAAAACAGCCTTTAAAAATAAGCATGTTCAGACCCTCCCTGGTGGCGCTACGGGTTAGGACGCAGCACTGCAAGGTGGCCGCAGCAGTGCCAAGTTCAGTGCCAAATTCAATCCCTGGCCAGGGAGCTGACCCACAGGGCACAGCAGACCTCTCCTGACCTGCCCGCTGCTCCCCTCAGCAGTGTACTTTGTCGATCTGCCTGTTCTGCTCCCCACTCTCTCTGGTGAAGCCTCTCACTGCTCCTGCACCTGTGGCCTGTACCCCAGTCCTGTATAAATGAATAAATATTAAAAAAAAAATAGCATGTTGAAATTATCACCTTCACCACACAAAAACCTGGACTCCACGCTCCCTGGGTCAGGAAGGGCAGACAGGCTGTTCTCCAGCAAACGGGACTAGACGACACAGACTGTCGGCTAAGCCACTCGACAAAGTCAGCACAATCTCGTTCAAAATCTCAACATACTTTCTGTGGAAACTGATAGTCTGGATCCTAAAATATATATGGAAATCTAAAGAATTCAGAGCAGCTAAAACATTCTGAAAAGAACAGAGCACGGAGACTTGGACTCCTGATTTCAAAACTTAGCACGAAGTCACACTCATCAGGACAGTCTGAGGTTGGCACAAAAACAAGCATGCATGTCAAAAGGAAAATATGGAGACCAGCTACAAACCTCGACTTCCGTAAAGTCAAGTCAAATAATGTCCGACAAAGTGCCAAGGTAAGCAACAGTCTTGTCAGTAAATGGCGCCGAGAAGTCAGCCCTCCCACGCAGAATACAAAATTTCACATCTTTACCTCGCACCTAACCTCCCCGCTCAAGATGGATCGCGGCCTCAAATGTAAAATCAGAATCTTACAAATCTTCGATAATAATACCGGAAGCCTGGAAGCCTTAAACTCTAAAAACAGCTGTCACAGAGCAAGGCTCAACGGGGGTTAAGGACACAGCAAGAGGGCGGCGATGGCAAGACGCAGGGGGACAGAGGGCGCGCGGACACGCGCAGCCGCAGGCTATGGGCAGCCGGACAGGGCGAACACGGGTTCTCCTGGACACGAGGCTGTGAGCACAGACGCCTCCAAAATCTGAAAACACCCAAAAACAGAAGATGCGAAAAGCCAGAAGAGCAGCAAAGAACAATGGGACAACTGGAAGGTTGAAACGTGCCTAACGGAAGGAACAGAGGAGAAAAACAGAACGAATATCCGTGACATTGATGAAGAAAATCTGAAATGAATGACAGACACCACACCACAGGTCTAGGAAGATGCCAGGAAAACGGCACCCAGGCACGACATGCTCAAAGTTCCGAAAGCCAAAAGAAAAGCCCTCCAAGAGTATCAAACACCTTACCTACAGATGAACAAAGAATTATATCCAACTTCTAACTACCACGAGAGAAAAGAGTAAAATATTTCAAATGCTGAGAAAAATACCCCAACTTAAAATTCTGGATCCTATGAAATTATCCCCCCAAAGTGAAAGAGAAATATTTCCAAACAAACAAAAACCCAGTGACTTTACTGCCTGTGAGTTCTTTAAAAGCAGGGGAAGTAATGTAGGCCAGAAACTCTGATCCACATTAAAAGAAGAAGAAAAAGAAAAGCATGTCAAAGAAGTGAGTTAAATGAGAACTTCCTTTTCATACTGTGACGTGATCCACAGAGAAGTCTGTTCAAAATACTAGCAGCATTCCTTGCTGCGGGTTACGTGCCCATCAGGGCCAAGGCTCGTTTGCTCTGACACGTACATCTCAGTGAAGAAAATGAAGGCAAAGACAGATACCAGGACTGGAAGGAAGACGGTACGGGACCCGCACCGTCCATGCAGGAGGGGAAAGGGAGCGCACGGCAAGCAGGCGGACAGTCCTCTCATTTTTGCTATAAAATGAAACTACTCTTACATTGTTGAAGAATTTTCATAGACACGACAGCTACAGGTATCTGCCAAGCCACAGCAGCCGTTACTTCTGTCTTCGCCCGATGTACATCAGTTACTCCCGACCATGCCTCTCAGAAAGTGGACATGTCACGGAAAGGCAAGTCCAGAGACCTTGAGTCAACTCCTGCCCCAGACCCCAGACTCCCAGATGCCTCCCACCACATAAAAGCAGCCTACTTTGAAAGAACAGTGGGAGAGTCTAAATGAAAGGAAATCACTCTTCACTTCTCGTTCGATGCTTTATCTGACTTAGGGAAATGGCCTCATCCTCCCAGGGGGCTTTGCTGACGTGCGCAGGCCACATCACAAAGAGCTGGCGAGAGCGCGCACAAGGATGGGTGCTGGCTCCATGGGCCGAGCCACAGGGCCTAATGCTGCTCACGCCCTCCTCGGGCCCTAAGTCACAGAGCAGCCGTCAACCGACTTGTCACAACAGCCAACAATGTAACGGCTAACAAGGCCAATAAACTTGACACTTGACACACAGTGCTGACACCTGCACCTTTGGCAACAATGATTCCACCTTCCACTCTGACCACCTTCCCCGCCTCTGCACCCCAAGTGGGGTCACACCCCTGCAGCTTCCTATGTCTTCACTGTACACATGGGAGGCAGAGAGGGGACCCCGGTGGCAGACTGGTAGTGGTGCCCAGGCACAGTCTGAGGAGGCCTGTCCATAAAGCAACACAGGGCCCTCAGTCCTGAAGCACCCTGTGGTCAGGCCTCTTTCAAAGGTCTGCTACACCGCCACGTAGCAGAGGCTGGACCCACACAGCCCGGTGCCCCCCACCAGCCTGTGACTAGCCAAGTATAGCATGTCTCCCTGCCTTCTTGCTGGACGTTTGGAACCTCAAAGCCAAGTGCGAATTCAGTCCTAGAATAACTTCTATTAGAAATTCTAATCCAGAAATCAGTTAATGCCAGCTTTTAGAGACAGGTGATAAAAGTTCCAATAAGCCAGTATTACTAGCCACCCAATGTCTTTAAAAAAAAAAAAAAAAAGCAGGCCTCCCTGCTTGTGCAGTAATTAGTCTTAGCGCCATCAAACTATCATCAGCCAATACAACATGAGTTCGATCCCTGGTCCCCAGGCAGGGAACTAACCACATGGTGCAGCAGACTATCATCTCGCCCACTGCTCCCCACTCTATCTCTGGTGACTCCTTTCAGCCCCTACTCCTCTGGCCTATACCCCAATTCTTATATGCATAAATAAATAAAAATAAATCTTAAAAACCAGAAAGAGGGCCCTCCCTGGTGGCGCAGTGGGTTAAACCACAGCACCAAGAAGCTAAAGCCACTTCCGCATGAATTTGATCCCTGCCCCGGAGCTGACCCACATGGCGCAGCAGGCCTCTCCTGACCTGCCCACTGCTCCGCTCAGCAGTGCACTTCGTCAGTTGGCCTGTCCTACTCCCCACTCTGTCTCTGGTGAATCCTCTCATCGCCCCTATACCTCTGGCCTGTATGCCTGGCCTGTACCCCAGTTCTGTATGCATAAATAAGTAAATCTTAAAAAAATAAAACAGAATGAAGCCGTCAAGTAAGGGAAACTGGAGATCACCTGATCGTGACAGTGAGCTTTCAATCTTACAAGGTCAGGCTATTACCAGCAAAGGGAAGGCTCCAGAGCTGCTTTTACAAAGTGGTAGATTCACCCAGTCCAGCTCTGCCTTCCGGGCTCAGAAGTTGCACCTCCCTCAGCCACACTTAGAGAACTGATCCACCTGCCTGAAGCAGACACAGTTACTGAACCTACATAAGTCAACTATAAAACAATCCCAGAAACTACTATCCTAGGAGCCAAATAACTCTCACCCTCTGTCACGCAGGCAGACCCAACAGAGGGCTAGAGAACAGCAGGAGGGTGCTTGGTGAGCATGCAGGCCAACCAGGACATTCACCACCATCGGCTCGCCCTGGAGTGTCTTCCCCACTACCGATCAATCTCAGCGCTGCCTTATCCCACCACACGGAACAAAGCCCTCTCTCCTGGACATCGGCTGTAGGGTTGAACCGACCTGGGGAGCAACCAAGCCCTCTCTCCACTACTGCACGCAGCACATGGGGCTGCAGCAGAAGCTTCACAACCCAGAGACTTCCCCCACCCCACCCCCCAAATAACCACACAATTTTACTCTACTGCATTATGCTTTGATCTCAAAAAATCTAGCTCTCAAGTAATTACATTCGCCCTCATTTTCAAATTCCAGATAGTGCTTTTACTTACTATTTACTGCACACTTTCTATGTCTCAGGCTACTGCAGACAGTAGGTCTTCCACAAAGCAACACATTGCTGTTCTTGTAGAATTTAGATTCTAATGGACTTTGACTAATACCTAAAATCAACAACTAGTGCATGCTCAAAAATGATGCTAACACTGATTCACACAACCACTGTTTCAAGTGATTTTCAATTTCAGACGATCGTGATGGGACAGTACATACATACATGAGGGTTATTACAGACGGTGAAAAATGTGCCAAGGATGTTGAGTAACTGGGCCAGTGTTCATTTTCTCAGCTGAAGCCCTGAGGATATGGTCAAGGAAGGAAGAGTACCCTTGTTCTTAAAATCTGCATGCTGAGGGCCCACCCTGGGGGCGCAGCAGGTTAAAGCACAGCACAAGAAGCAAAAGCCACTTCAGCATGAGTTCGATTCCCGCCTCCCCCAGAGGAGACCACATGGCCCGGCAGACCTCTCCTGGCCCGCCCTGCTGCTCCCCTCAGCAGTGGACTTCGTCAGGCCCGCCTGTTCTGCTCCCCACTCTGTCTCTGGTGAATCCTCTCACCACACCTGCACCTCTGGCCTGTTCCCCAGTTCTGTATGCATAAATAAATAGAAATCTTAAAAAAAAAAAATCTGCATGCCGAGATATTAAAGATAAAGCATCTGACTCCTCTAACTGAGCAGCAAAGGGAGGGCTATGTGTGTAGAGACGGAGCCGCAGCAGCCAGGTACTAAGCTTCAATCAAATGAAGGAGCTCTTGGGGCCTGTTGGCCCTGATCTATTTTAACTTTTCTGTAAGTTTAGGCAGTTTGCTATATGTACACACACACACACAATCTTAAAAGACGACCTGCCTCAGGAAGGAAAAAAGCTCATAATGAAATGTGCTAATGTGATCTCTCAAGGCTGAACAAAATATGAGCAAAGCTACCATCGATACTCAAGGTTACTACAACTTCCCACGTCTCTATTCTAAAGCTCAGCAGAAAGGTATTATTCAAACCACAGCAACACTCCAAGTGTCTTCATGTCCAGCTGAAGCCATTCTCCTGTCTTCCACAGGAAACGCATCGGGAAGCCCTCAGCAGGGCGGCAGCCAGCTCACCAGTGTGAACAGTCGTGCAAGCTGTCATGCAGCGCTTTCCGCAGCACCGAGTCCTTGTCGTAGATGCCCCAGGTCGCCTGCAGCACGGAATCCAGCAAGCAGTCTCCCGCAGTCCGGTTCCACAGTGCATAAAGGCGGCTATCCAAGCGCGTCGCCAGTTCCAAGGACCAGTTTATGATTGGAGACTCTTCTTCTAACTCTGCGTGAGGAATGAAATAACAGATTCCTTTTCATGCTTGAGCAACTGAAGACCATTCCTTGGAGGAATGAGCCTCCTTTCCAGATGCTACTTTATGCGTAATTTACTAATAAGTACCAAAATAAATCTCATCAATTGAAATACAAACCATTTGGTGTTATTTTCTACAGCAACCTTTCTATTTGATGGGCAGGTTGCAGCCAGATTCAGAAGTCACTCAATAAAACCAATTAGATTTTTAACTAAACCAATTAGATTTTTAACTATTCTTGACAATTTATTTTCTAAAAATGGTTAATGTGGACACATATTCATTCTAGAGCAGGACGTAGAAAAACAAGGTGTCAGAATTTTCATGCATTTGTTCACTAGAGTTAAAATGAGTATTTTTAACAGCTAATACAGCACTTGTCTTAAGGACTTTATATTTCAGATTTACTGTAAAAATAAAACCGATTGATAGACACCAAACTCTCCAAAACTCACAAAACAAAAAACTTATTAAAACAAAAGGTAAATAAATAGTAATCACTAATTCCATGCTTACCTTTTTGAACATCCCTATCAAGCACCTCATCAAATAATTTTTCTTGTACTGTTGGAGGCAAGTCTTCAATATCTACAAAGAAAAAGCAAGCTTAAAAGGTCTTCTTGTGTCTTGTACTTAATAAACTTGATAGCAGCATCTAACAGTAACTTCCTCTCAAATAACCATCTTTCCACTGAAGGCTATCAAGTAGTTTCTTTTTAAAAACATGTCTGTAACATGTATGTGGAGGATAAAACATTCCTTTCTGCACTTCATTATCAAAATCATAGGGGCTCGAAAAACGACTCTCATCCTAACCAGTAATTACATACAGTGATCATCCAAACCACCAGAAACACAGTGTTGCTGAGCCACTATGGGGGGTGGGGATGAAACTGACACGACTGCTACAGAAAAGTCGGAGGTGCCTGAAAAAAGTACCATAGAAAACTCAAATGATCCACCAACCACACTTGTGGGTACAGACACAAAGGAAGTGAAACCAGAACATGAGAGGTCTGGGCTCTCAGGCCAGAGGCGGCGAACATGCCAGCTCACAACATGGCGTGTGTGAATGGCAGCTCCTGACCAGCGGTGGCAAGCTGCTGTCGCCTGCACAGTGCCACAGGCACGTGGGCATTTACGCTAGAGAAGCAGCCAGACAGTAAATAATGCATGTCCCACACAGGTGGTGGGCTCATTACCCAAAAGTCACAGAGTAGAAAACTGGGTGCCGGGGCTTGGGGTGGTGGGAGAAACAGGGAGAACTGATTCATGGGAATGCGTGTCAGCCAGAGATGAGTAAGGCTGCACACCTGGTGACACCGTGTTGTGTAACTGAACTGCACTAGCAACTTAAATATTCTCGCCAAGAACCGGTATGCGCTCAGTAATTAGGTGGGGGGCTGCCTAATTATGTCATCAAATCACCATAATCTACAATTCAAGTCTTGCAATTTCATACTTCAACATACCCAATTATCTCTGAATAAAGTTGAAATTAAAAAAAGAACAGGGTTAGCTGATATTCAAGTCAATAATAACTACACACAGATTTTTATTTGTTCTTTCCTCCCCACATCTCAATCTGCTCAGGTCTCTTATTTTCAGACTTTAGAATCGTCCTATAAAAAAGTTAATGAATCACAATTCTGGCACACAGACCTCTGTTTCTGCCATCTTTTCAAATTCCCTATGCTCTATTCAGTTCACTATTTGATCTAAACTGAGAACATTATCACTGAAAAATTTCAAAACTGGGTTATTTTCAATTCAAATGAAAATCTAATCAATTGGGCGTAAGTTTAAATTTATACCACATACTTCAAGCAAACTGTCTTCTTTCAAAAGTCTCAGCTACTCCCTCTACCCTATGCAAACGCCCCTGTTTATATCTGAATATAATGTTCAAAACACCCAGTTCAAGATGGAGGCTTTATTTTAGAAACTTTTGGTGTCTGGTGCAGTTAACCAATGCCACTGACAAAGAGCATTCTGAAAGACACTTTCAAAAGGATGCCAGCATCTCTGATCCAAATAACTGTACCCATCAAGAGCCCATGCTCTCCTTCGTGTCTCCAACACCAGCTAAACCGCAAGACCTAATTTCAAAATAACAGGCTGGCATTAAGGAAAAACAATGACCGATAACATTTTAAAATAAAATGCAAGAGAAAAGTACATGGGTAAGAACAAAAGTATATAATCCTCAAGAAAGTTCCTTGTTATCAACTGCTGGCCCCTCCCAGACAACTGAACTGCTTGTCTGTAAGCTTCATACTGGGGCTGCCAACATTAAAGAAGGCAGATTTATGTAATGTAAGAAGCAAATGTAGTAGGCTAAGTTATCTGTTTTCCAACAAAAGCACTCTCATTCAGACATAAAAAAGGAATTATAATAAAGTGGAAATTTAGTTTCATATTGAAATTTGGAATTACCTGCTGGCAATGTAAATGTTACAAGGTCAGTTAGAAAATAGCAAGCAAAATCCCCCTTTCTCTGATGAAGAGAAGCAGCTATCTCCCGCCGGATCTGCTCTGTCAGTTCAGGACACACCATTGCTGGAATACACTTTGCTGCTTGCTGAGATACCTTAAACACAAAAAAGACTTTCCTCTGCATCGTATTTGCCATCAATTGAAGCAGAAAACAACAGTATTAAAAATTGCCCAAAAGTCCTACTAACTCAAGGTGTTTGTGGGTTTTGTTCCAATTAGGTACTGGATGGAAAGATGCTCCAGTACAACTTTCAGAGGGAAAAGCAGCCATAAAAATGTTTTACTCTGGGGCCTCCCTGGTGATGCAAGGGTGGTAAGCACAGCACTACGAAGCTGTCCACAACCACTGTGGTGTGAGTTCGATCCCCAGCCAGGGAGTGACCCAGAGGGCACAGCACACAGCAGATGTCTCTGCTGCTCCCTCAGCAATATATCAGTGGATCTTCCTATTCTGCTCCTCACTCTGTCTCTAGAGTGAATCCCTTCACACACACCCCACCCCCTCACCTCTGGCCTGCACCCCTGCTGTTGTATGTATGCATAAATAGATCTTTTTTTAAAAAAAAGCTTTGTTCTGGCTCAGTAATTCCACTTCTGAGGCACTTACTTCAAAGAAATACACAAAGCTGCATATAAAAATGAATGTAGATGTTACTTGAATGAATAAATGAAAGAATGCATGACAGATGTATCCCAGTTTTTTCAATCAAACATGATTCAAATATTGTAGCAAAATGTTCTATTTTAAATGCATCTCACTATTAAAATTACATGTAGTTAAAGTCTCAAATTTAATGTGATTTTTAAAGATAGAAAGAAGAATCTAACACTGTTTGGAGAAACACAGTACCCTCAAGAAGGAGAGCTGAAGAGCCCATGCTTCAAATCCAACCAGACGCCCCTCACCTCCGTGAGCAGTATGGCCAGCATGTCCTGCCTCTGGAAGCGGATGGCCAGGTGCACCAGCGTGTAGCCCACATCGAAGGCGGAGGGGCGGCTCAGCAGGCGCACTTCGTCTGCGCTGAGCTGGCGGGCAATGTCCCCTCCCGAGGACTTGTATGCTTCTATAGCAGCCAAATCTCCTTCCACGACCCCTACAAGAAGCATCAAAACAGAAACCTGTTTCATTCCGTTTTTCGACACGAAACACAAACCTGCAGCACCAACTCTTAGTGTTTCTGTGCTTCTTGGATCCAGGGACAACATTCAAAAGTCCTAAGGAATACAAGGAAAATGAGCGTGGCCCTCTACTTGTTATTTCTTCTAGAGCTGCACCTGCCTAGTTACAGACACTTACCTTCACGTCAGTGGTGGCATCATGCTCTTCGGGTACAGAGGAATTATGAAAATATATTAATTGGATCAAAAATCACCAATGAGCACCCAGACCGTGCCGGCCTGACGCTGACACGGGAGACAGGAGCGCTCCCTGCTGGCACTGCGCTTTCACCCTGCTGTTTGGTTCTGAAAGAATCTAGAGCAATTAAAAATATCTGCCCTATAAGAAAAAGTCAGTGATACTCTGCTTTCAGAATCTCTCAAAGCCAAGTCTTCCCCACACCACCCAGGACAAATTGTTAATGTAGTAAAACTAAGGTATTTGGAGCGAGAAACACATGAAAAGGAAACATTCCACAGCAGTTAGGGCGGGAGATGAAACAAGAGCCACCTTCTCCACAGCCGCTCTGGCCGCAGCGCTACCCTAGCACAGGCCAATGTGAGGCAGCGACCATCAGTGAGCACGGCAATGCCGTCAATGCACCAAAACACCAACAGCCTGCATAAAAAACCAAGTTATAGGTCAGCTTCAGATTTACCACAAGTAGTTTTTTAACATGCCAAAGGCTAGGACCGAACAATTTTACGCATTTCCTGTTACAAACAAAATGTGTTGTGTAAATTGTTCATGTTAACTAAAAATGTTCTTAGCACACTTTAAAAATACCACTTCTTGTCACCACCTTGAATTAGGAATTAAAGTATACAATACAAACAATACAATGCACTAATTCCCCCAGTTATTAAAATAAGAGCTTTAACCGGAGACGTAGTTTTCATGGGCGCGAGGGTGAGATCGCGGGGACTCGCCCCACCGTCCATGCCCAGCACTCTGGGTAGCCATCAACTGCCAGCTTCCAGGGTCTTCAGACTCTCACCTCATAGATCTTTCTGCGAGTCCAGATCCTTTCTCAGAAAAAAAATGACCCTTTGCCCCTAACACATTTTTCAGGTTAAGAATCCAGGACATCAAGCCCTCCCTGGTGGCACAGCGGGTTAAAGCACAGCACTGAGAAGCTAAAGCCACTTCAGCGTGATTTCGATTCCCGCCTGCCCTGGAGGTGACCACAGGGCGCGGCAGACCTCTCCTGGCCCGCCTGCTGCTCCCCTCAGCAGTGGACTTTGACCATCTGCCTGTTCTGCTCCCCACTCTGTCTCTGGCGAATCCTCTCATGGCCCCTACACCTCTGGCCTATACCCCAGTTCTGTATACACAAATACACCTTTAAAAAAAAAAAAAAAAAAGAATCCAGGACATCAAATGAGAATACTTCTCACAGGGATCTTTATTTTCACAGCTGTAGGCCTCGGCTCAATAAATACCCAGGGACTCAGAGCACCCCAATGAAGCAGAGCGCACTACAGAAGTCGACGAGGCCAGAAGTCCTCACACTGGCACGAGATGGGGGCACACACCTCCTCCAAAGGGCTGACCTCAAGAACAGCCCCTGAAGTTTGGAAGTGCTGCTCAAAACTCTGCCGCTGCAGTCGAGCACGCGTGGGCCCTAGAATTTCTGCTCAATTTGTGTTCATGACCAGGTTGCCATCACCTGGTCAGGCTCCTGTGGTTTTGAGTAATTTAGCAAAGCTTATTTTAGAGCTGAGCAGGCTGCCCCCACACCTGGGGCCTGGAGTGCTTCCTCAGACAGGCAGCCTCCCACCACCTCGTCTCTTAAGAGGTGTACACAGTGAACTCTACCTTGTACAATTTTTAGCATTAACCTCTAAGTGTACGTGCTTTTGTAAAATGTTTCTTTATATGACATAATAGCAATTCCAAAAGCAACCCTAGCACTGAAGAGCTTCACCAGTGTACCTGAAGAGACAGGCCGCCTGCATGGTGTACACGCACATGTGATTTATTTCCAGAGGGCAAGGAGGAGGCAATGTAAAGCTAAAGGCTTTACATTGGCTTAAACTAATTCTGTTCTTCTGGTAGGAAGAAAAGGAGACCTGAATCCCCTTCCTGTCATCACAATTTTTAGCCAACTCATCGTGGACCTGGTGTCTGGAAGAATCTCATCTTGGAAATTCTTGTTCAAGATTTCCTGTCTGAGCCTCCTGGAAACGCAGTGTTTCAGTTTCAGCACTTCAAGCTATCAACAGCCACTGTGGCCTGAGTTCAAGCCCTGGCCAGGGGCTGGCTGAGCCATACACAGGGCACAGCGCACCATTTCGCTGCTGCCCCTCACAGTGGATTTCAGCGGAGTATGCATACAAAAAAAAGTCTTCCAAAAAGAGCAGTGGCGCTACATGGGAATAAAAAGCTCCCATACCCCAAGGCAGCAGTCCGCAAAGCGCAAGGCCGCCTGGGAGCCGTGAAAGAAGCCGCAACCAGACAGCCGCGAGGAAGCAGCGTGGGAGCCAGAGGCGGCTCCTGCCGCTCCAGGCCCAGCACACCACACCCGCTTTTAAAAACGGACGGAGGTCTGAGTAGGACAGACATTTTTCATTTCTTCTCTAGTATTTCTGGAAGATTTGTGTCATTCGAAACTGATCAGCACAAAGGGGAAGACGAGGTACAGCCCAAACAGCACAACTGAGTAAACTGTGCCTTGGAATTATGACTTGCAGGATCACCCGGTCTTGCCTTCAAGCTAAGTATTTTTCTTTTAAATGTAAACAGGATTTCTAATTAAAAAAAAAAAAAAAAAAGCAACGAGGCCCCCACAGCAAATGCAGTGCCTGGCCCCGCCTCACGCAGACGAGAGACAGGAGGGCAGAGAATAAAGCCGAACGCAATACCCTACTCCACTCTTCACAAGGTAAAATTCCCCCGGCTTCTCCAGAGCAGGTAAGTTTTTAAAAATTTAAATACAGGCATAAAGTAACTTTAAAAGAAAAAAACATTGTTGTCTGGACATGTTAATTCTATTCTTAATTAACTATAAATAAGAGCTCATAGTTTCAATTATCGGTGAGTTTTCAGGTATAAAGCTGAGTAAGTCACAAACCACATTTCATGGAAGTATCCCTGAGCACCCACACTTTTCGGCAGGTCTCATTACACCCTGCCTGGTTAAAGTCTAGACAGCTTCTGGACACAGGGGCTTTTCGCTGTGAACATGATCAATTTCAGATCATTCAATTTTAGCTACAGCCACCTCTAACCAGAGGGGGAAAGTATCAGATTATATGTAAAACAGCTAACAATAAGTCTTTACATTCTTCAGTGTTACATTTTTACCACTTTTTCAAATTAAGGGGAAAAGGGAAAGAAGGCAGAAGAGTTGACAGGGAGGAAAAGACAGCAGGAAATGTAAGTGGTAAAATATCATGTAAGACCAAGGAAAAAGAGAAAAGTTCCAGAAGAAAAGGGGCCAGTGCACACAGGTTCTCCAGGATGCTAACTAAGGCCTTGCAGCAGCTCCAAGCTACACTGAAGCCTCCTTCTCTTAATTGACTCTTTTGAAAATTTAACAAGCAGCTATCACATGTTCCACCCCTTTCTCCTCCGGTGATAATGGTAATGAAAGGCGAGCTGAAGGCATTCTGAGCTCATGTTTGTAAACCAACTGTGTCGTGTCTCCTTCAAGCTGGTGGACATGCAGGCCCCGCTGAACAGTGGCCCAAGGGACGTGTTACTCCGCTTTTCAAAATGTGGAGAGCTGCGAGCAAGCACAGCGACTATACTACCTACTGCAAACTACCAGATAAGCAGACAAGCAAACCTCACATTCTGGAAGCTGCACCAGGAGTAGTCAACCTACTTGAAGCCGCAGGTCACAACTCACCGGGGACTTCACAGCTACTATGGAACTCCACTGGCTATGGAGCTGGCTCACAACTGTTTAGAAAACAGACTTATTTTTTTCCCCCATATATGGCACAGTTTTCAAAGTTTTGCCTTATTTTTTTTAACATAAAAATATAATGGTAACTAACTTTGAAAAGATGCCAAATGGTAAAAAAAAAAGCCAGGACTTACCTGAGCCCACTGGGGCCAGCTCAACACTACCCTGGAGTTCTATGGTAGCTGTGACATCACAGCATGCTTTATGCTGTGGGGGCAGGGTGGACTTGGAGTCAGCTGGCACAAGTTCAGGAGCCCTTGAAGAGAAAAGTTAGTTTTAAGTGGTCGTGCTCAGTGTCTGTCCGTGAAGAGCAGAGACGCGCGGGGCTGTCCTGCGGCATGGGTCACTCTCCTCCACCCAGGGGACTGCACTTCCCTGACTGCAAGGAAAAAGGAAAGTCCACCAACCCAGGAATCGTTTTTCTTTATACTCCAAGACATCTGTCTATGATTTAATCCCCAAGCTAGCTTAATAATGGCAATCTCTTTCAAACCTGAAACATGAACTGCCCTTTAAATAAAATAACCTCAATATTTTGAGTGTATCTTAAAACAGTCACGGTAATCCCAAAAAGTTTGAAGACCACCAAACAAATCACCTCCTAACTGCATTTTTCGCATAATGCCCAAAAACAAAAACAAGCCTATCTACCAATTCTATTCCTACAGGAGTGCTAGGGAACAATAACCCTTTCAAAACAAAGGGCTGGATAAAAACCACACACTAAAAATTTAATTTTTAAACTTATTCTAATTTACACTATAGCAAGGCATATGTCCATGCAACTCACTAAGTAAACCCCATTATTAAAACATCTGCTTTACAAGGAGATTCCATGAGGGAAGTCTGCGATGCTAATCATGGCCTTTAAAGGTTCTACTACTAGTCATGGCAAATTACGCAGAATGTAGTTCCTACTTCCAGTTCTTATGCAGTTAAACAACTGGTGGAGAAACAACTCTTCAAGTCATGAGAAAAAAAACCTGAAGAGACCCCTAAAAGCGCACTGGAAGGATTTAAAG